AAAATAGCTATATCTGAAATAATCTGGCCTGAGTACGATGGGGATGTTGAGAACAGTGCCTTAGACTTTAGTAAAATCTTCAATAATATATTCAGTAAACTCATTCCTCTTGTTAAAGAAAATACCGGACCTCGTAACTCGTAACTCGTTGTGGTTTAACTCAGAGCTAAAGCATTTAAAAAATCAGAAAACTAAATCATTTAAACTTTATAAAAAATCAGGCCTGTCTTCTCACTACGCCGCGTACTCCATCCTTCGTCATAAATACAATGCCTTAAACAGAAAATGTTACAGGAATTACATTAATAAAACTCGCATTAACATCGTTTCTAATCCCAAGTCATTTTATCATTTTGTTAACTCAAAACGTAAAATAAATGGGTTTCCCTCAACACTGAAATTAGATGATGTAATTTCTAGTGATGATGATATGATTGCTGATATGTTTGCAAATTATTTTGAATCGAACTATTCTGTCGAGCCAAATGAAAAAACTTCTAGCTATCCTTTTCCACTCCCACAGTTTGACCACATCCGTATTCCTTCAATCTCCGCTGACAATGTTCTCCTTCATTTGAATAGTTTAAAAAATTCTTTTCTAAGCGGTCCGGATGGTATTCCCTCCTGTGTCCTAATAAGTTGTGCTGATTATCTATATAAGCCATTAACAAACATCTTCAATGCTTCTCTAAAGCATGGAGTTTTCCCCTCTTTGTGGAAGGAGTCGTATATCTTGCCGCTTTATAAATATGGAAGCAGGGCGAATATTGCGAATTAAAGGGGAATCGCTAAGCTGTGTGCCATTCCTAAATTATTTGAAGAAATCGTTACGGAAGAACTATCTTATTCCATAACACCCGTTATCGATGTATCACAACACGGCTTTTGTATAGGTAAATCAAGTGTATCAAACCTTCTTGAATTCACTACAAATGTGAACAATGGTTTTAAAAGTAATTATCAAACTGACGTCATTTGCACTGATTTCAGCAAGGCTTTTGATAAAGTATCTCATTTAACTCTAATATACAAACTTGATAAAAGTGGTTTCCCTCCAATCCTGCTGCACTGGCTTTCTTCCTATTTCATTGGCAGGAAACAGAGGGCTATCTTTAAAAAATGTTCATCTCGTGTAATTCATGTGACGTCAGGTGTACCTCAAGGTAGCCACCTTGGTCCCCTTCTGTTTATTTTATTCATCAACGATCTTCCAAATATTTTGAAGTATTCGAATTGCTTAATGTACGCAGACGACGTTAAGTTATTTAAGTTCATTGGTGCCCCAGAAGCAGGAAACAATTACAGGTGGACCTTAGTAATGTGTTTAAATGGTGCGAAGTAAATTCTATGTCACTTAACTTGAAAAAGTGTAAGTTTATGTGTTTCTCTAGAAAACCCTTTCAATCATATAGCTACCGCATTTGTGAACATAGTGTTGATCAGGTAACTCATTTCATCGATCTAGGCGTAACCATGGACTCTAAGCTTGAATTCAAGTCCCATGTAAACTCTTGTGTTAATAGAGCCAAGGGCGTCTTGGCTTTCATCAAACGGTGGGCTAAAGAATTCAGAGATCCTTATGTCACTAAAGCTCTCTTCACCTCCCTAGTCAGGCTGATCTTAGAATACGGGTCCGTCGTATGGAACCCTATATATCAAACGCACTCTGACAGACTCGAGTCGGTACAGAAACAATTCTTATTACTCGCATTAAATAATTTGCCTTGGGATTCGACATTAAATCTCCCACCGTACAAAAGCCACTTGAAGCTCATAAATTTGCCAACGCTGCACAGCCGTAGAGAGATGATCGGGGTTTTGTTCATGATTTAGATCTTGAACGGGATGGTCAATAGTCCCTTTCTACTGAACCAGATCACGTTTTGTATTCCTTCTAGGCCTTCTAGACATTACAAGCCCATTAAGCTAACTATTTGTAGAACAAATTTTGAAATGCATGATGCTTTTCGTTGCCTATGCTAGGACTTTAATAAGCATTACGACTATTTTTACACCTCCGACTCACATTTTACCATTAAGAAAACCTTACTTGAGATTTTGAATAAATAACACGTAAACCCTTACAATGTATTTCAGTTCAGTTTATGAGGTAAACATAAACGTGAATCGCTTTTTTGTACCTAAATAAATTAATATCTTTAACCGGGAACGATAAATTACACAATATCTATGACTGCTTAGTACAACTGTAATCGGCTTCGTATATTTTCGCGACCGCGTAAGACAATACGAGCATGGATCGGAAACTCGGCCTTTCCGACCATGATCAACAGCTTGTCTACAGCGCGGAGCGGAAACTAGAGCTTTCCGCCTGCCACACACTCAAAGTAATGACTTCGGGAACATGGATCGGAAACTCGTTCTTTCCGACCATGTTCAACAGCTTGTTCATAGCGCGGAGCGGAAACCAGAGCTTTCCGCCTGCCACACATGCAAAGTAATGTCTTCGGGAACATGGATCGGAAATCCGGCCTTACCGACCTTGATCAACAGCCTGTCCGCAGCGCGGAGCGGAAACTAGGTCTTTCCGCCCGCCGCACACAAAAGTAGACTGAAGACAGACTAGGCCTCGCCAGCTACCAAACCTGCTATTTTATGCTGTTATTATTATTATTATTATTATTATTATTATTATTATTATAAATTACTATGTATCTAAATGTTCTATTCTCATTTATCTGTAAGAAAACATTTTTCTGTAGACCAAATAAAAAAAATAAAAAAAATAAAAATAAAAAATAAAAAAAAAATAGTTAATTGCCTACAGTTAGATGAGTTTACAACTAATATTGAACTATTTGCAAAGATATGTATCAAAAGTGTAAGCATCTGGCCTTTCTCAATGAAGCTGCTAGGTGATTATTCGTCAATTTGAAGTTAGTTGCTGCATAAGTAGAAATAAACTAATTTTTCTAAGGTAATTGATTGAGCTACGCCGTACGCTGGCAAATGTCAAGTGGAATTTCTTAGCAAGGAAGCGGATTGTTGGGACCTATAAACCTATAAAAAGAAAAAATAAAACACCGAAAAAAGAACAAAAATGCACTAAAAATCGGAAAAATACCGAGCTTAACTCATAAAACTTTATTCTCTACAGTAGAGATGGGAAAACTCAGCACATTTGCACTGTGAAAATAAAAGTTATTCGGCAATGAAAGAAATCATTTAAAACCCGTTTATTTGTGAAATGCACAGTTTTTATTGATTCCTGTACGATTCTTATTGTGTGACTTAGAGATTTTTGAAATGACCGATTCAATTTAAATTGAAAAATCAGTCTCGTTATTGAATGCTGTAATCTCAAAATGAAATTTCGAATCCAGTTTCATTCGATAGTTGTTGTTGTTGTTGCTGCTGCTGCTGTGGCTGTTGTTGTTGTAGCGGCTACAACAACCCCGCCCAGATCGGTTAATATATCAGTCGTTGTCGTCAAGCTCAACCACGGAAGCCCCAAGAAGCGTGCAGCCTCAATGGGGTCGGTCTACAGGAACAAAGGCGTTAGCTGTGTCGGGTTTTCCGGACATACGAAGAGATGCTTCGAGTCGTGGGGTGTCTCTGCGCATGCCAGACACTCATTTGGCACATCTGCTTAATGAACCTCTGGACTTCGTCTGTCAGTTCGTAAAAATGCCTTCTGATCTTCGGAAAATGGAACCTCTAAAAACAGAGGATTACATCCAAATTTTTGTATAGTTTCTCGTGATATTTCCCTGGTATATTATTTCGCTAAGCAATTTTAATTATCGATCCCATAGGCGAACAGTGCACCAACTCCATACAAACAATGTACAGAAATGGGAGTCCCTTGTTTTGGTTACCAAATTATTGTACTTTTTTAATGTATGGGATTCGAAAAAGTCGAGACCTAAACTTCAATATTTCCAAAATTAAGAGATCCTTGAATCTATTGACTTAAATAAAGGAAGAACAAGTAAGAAAGTCTAGGTTCGGGCGGAGCCGAACATTAAATACCCGGCGCTAGATGGTAAGCCGGGGTGTACCAATTTTGAGTTAAATTTCGAAATATTGCAGATTCAAGCATTTCTGAAATTTACCGTTAAGTATATGAAAAGCGGCCGTAATTTTAGTCCGATTTCAATAATTTTCAACGTTTTGCTTTTATGTGGCAAGCACAATAAAAATACCGAGTTTGGTACAAATTGGTAGAACGGTTACCGATATACATATATGTGATCATAAGTGGGCGGTGCCACGCCCATTTTTCAAAATTTTACCATAAACGTATTTCTTGGTAAAGAATTGTTGCAAGCATCAATTTTGAATATATTAGCTTCAGTATTTACTGATTTATCGAAGATTTTGCATTTCTCTAAATTACCGTTATATGGGATGTGGGCGTGGTTATTGTCCGATTTTTTAAATTTTCGGCCATTTAGTATGCTGTACCAAGGCCAATAACTGTGCCAAGTTTGGAAGAAATTGGTGCAGTGGTTACCAAGATATACACATGTAACCATAAGTGGGCGTGGCTACGCCCATTTTCCAAAAATTTATAATATTCTTATTTTTCGTCTGAAAATTATTGTAAATATCAATTTTGAGTGAATTATCTTCAGTAGTTACTAAAATATCGCAGTTTTCGTATTTCTGGAAATTACCGTTATATGGGAAGTGGGCGTGGTTACAGTCTCATTTCGCCCATTTTCAATACCAACCTGCCTTGGATTAATGGAAACCTACATACCAAATTTCGTTGAGATATCTCAATTTTTGCCCGAGTTATCGTGTACACGGACAGACAGACATGGCTTAATCGACTTCTCTATTCATTCTGAGCATTTATGTATACATTTGTCTATATCTATCTCGATTCCTTTTGGCTGTTACAAACAACCGTTATGTGAACAAAATTAATATACCCTTGTGCACAAGTGCGCTCGGGTATAAAAATACAAAACCTATCTAAATACAAGGTTACTCAACTAAATGCTTTTGCTTCCTATCTTTTTTCGTTCCAGGTCTTCATCTAACTAACTCTTCCTTGGTGTTTCAGGTGAAATAACTCTTATCTCCTGTGAGCACTGCATGTGCTGAAATGCTACTTCTATTGTAGTTGCTTTGTGAAACGCTGTAAACTTGACCAAAGATTGGGCCTGGAGCCCAACATATTAAACATAACTTTAAATATCTTCAAAAGTAGACGAATAGTATAAGGAAAATATGAATGTGACAACAGTTTCCACTGGCACTAGCACTGGTACCATTCACGCAACACAACAAACGACCAAAACATACAAAATTGAGATGTTGGATGATGGCCAGCTGAGCATGGCCTCAGATGATGACGACGATGACTTAATTAACAGTGACGACAGTCTTTATGATGACGCCGACTTGGCGCATATAACAGTGCAGGATGATGTGGCAAATCAATTGGCAGCAGCCGGTCCAGTAGGTGTGGCAGCGGCAGCGGCGATTGCATCATCGAAGAAGCGAAAACGTGCACATTCGTTTGAAACGAATCCGTCGGTGCGCAAAAGACAGCAAAATCGTTTGTTGCGAAAACTCCGCGGCATCATCTACGAGTTTACTGGTCGCGTGGGCAAGCAAGCTGTGGTGCTGGTGGCCACACCTGGGAAACCAAATACCAGCTACAAAGTGTTTGGCGCAAAACCACTAGAGGATGTGGTGCGAAATCTCAAGAACATTGTTATGGACGAATTAGAGAATGCTTTGGCCCAACAGGCTCCACCGCCACCACAAGAGGACCCATCACTTTTCGAGTTACCCCCCTTTGATTATCGATGGCATACCGACTCCCGTGGAGAAAATGACACAGGCACAGCTGCGCGCTTTTATTCCCTTAATGTTGAAGTATTCGACAGGTCGTGGCAAGCCTGGCTGGGGACGTGAGTCGACCCGTCCTCCGTGGTGGCCAAAGGAATTGCCTTGGGCAAATGTACGCATGGATGCACGCTCGGAAGATGACAAGCAGAAGGTGAGAGTGCGTCATCCCACTGCCAACCATATTGGCTTTTTGAATTATAATGCTTTTTTTCCATATGCAGATCAGCTGGACGCATGCACTACGAAAAATCGTCATCAATTGCTACAAATACCATGGCCGAGAGGATTTGCTACCCACATTTGCCGATGATGACGATAAGATTGAAATGTTGGAAGGCGAAGAGGACGATGAAATGGATGAGCATGAACCCTCGACGACAACAACAACTGTACAAACGGTAGCTAATGCTGCAACGAATACAACAAATGTGAGTATGGTACTTTGGTAATAAACACATACATTAGAGAATTCCGATATTTATTTAAAGACGCTTCTCAATCGAAATTTTTCGACAACAAAAACTATTACAATATTTTTACTTAGTACGGTTTATATTAAGTAAATGCATTTAAACAAAACCATTTGGCATAAAGGCATCGAAAATTACGATAATAAGTTTGAAGGGTAACCCGAAGCGGCTAAAAAACTATATAAAAAAGAACACTTAACAATACATACTGGTCAATCGTGTTAGATCGGCTATCGAAATTGAATATCTTGATTTGCAGCTAAAAAATGGCACTTGTTGATAAATCCAGTCCAAGTCGTTACCCTAATACAGAAAGGTCCTAACCAAATTTCCTCCTAATCCAGCTTTGCACAAAAGTAGCAAATTAATTACAGTATTCAATAAAAAACAACAGAACATATCGCTCATATAATTCAATAGTGTCGTAATCAAAAAGAAAAGATATAAATTTTTAGTTTAGTATGCAGAAATTACCGGTACCTCTTCTTCTATGTTGTATACAAATTTCATAGCTGTATCGATTACCAGTAGAATAAAATATGTATTCACTTTTACTATAACAATAACAACAGATTGACGCTTACACATACGTTAGTGTTTGGAGGAGGAGCCTCCGATTTGTGATGTGCGCCTTGCTGTTGTCACACGAAGGGGACCTACAGTTTTACGCCGACTCCGAACGGCGATCGTATTTTTATGAGAAGCGGTTTTTCATCGCAGAAATACACTCGGAGGTTTGCCATTGCCTGCCAAGGGGCGACTGCTGTTCAGAAAAAACCTATCCTCTACATTCTTTTGCGATGTCTACTGTTTTTACTATGGGTATATGTAAATTCAAAACTTTAAAGCCGTTTTTATTGAGTTTTGATTTTTGAGTTATGACACTATTGAAGTAAATGAGCGATGTATATAAAGAACTTAAATTTTTATTAAGTTCTTTACTTACTTTGTAATGAAACAAGAATTTTAGATGTGGCCTCTATGAAAATACATACGAGTATATGCATACCGGTCCGATTTCTTTCTTTCAAATATTGAACTTACAGTCAGTCAATAAAGTTTTGGTACAGCGGGATATTTGCAATAGGGCAACTGGTG